TGCTTCTCCCTCTCCCACTCCCCCTGCTTGTGTTCCCTCTCTCGCTGTGTCTCTCTCTGTCAAATAAATAAGTAAAATTAAAAAAAAAAAATCAAAACCATCCATGACTAGAGTGGATTGTCCCAATAATACTAGCCCGTAATTCTCAAACATCACCAATTGGTTATGATGATTGAGAATTAACAGTTTAAAGCCACTATAGGGGCACCTGGGAGGCTCAGTTGGTGAAGCCTCCTACTCTTGATTTTGGCTCAGGTCATGATCTCAGAGTCATGATCTCAGGGTCCTGAGATCTAGACCCACCTCCCACTCTGTGCTCAGAGCCAAGGCTCCTTGAGATTCCCTCTCCCTTTGCCCCTCCCTGTGCCCCTCCCCACCCCCACCCCGTGCATGGGTGCGTGTTCACACCCTTCCTCTCACTTTCTCTCTCTCAAGTAAATAAATAAAATCTGTAAAGCAACTACAATGTTACTATTGCTATTTGGCTACAATGAAAGACAGAAAATAGATAATTACCCTAGAATGTTTAACAGTCCAATTGGGGAACAAAGTTTAATTAAATAAGAAGAGAACAGTAAGTCACATTAATTTCTCATTAGGAAAAAAGAATGATGGCATTGATAATTAATTTCTTCTAAATGTTCTCACCAGCCCCCACTGTTTAATATCTTGGTATAGGTTCATATTCCCTACACAGTAAAATCCTTCTAAAATGAAATATTTACTTAGTAGCTAACAAAATAGACAAGTAGACTGACACTAAAGAGTGAAAAATAACTTTTTAAAATGCCATGTTATGTAATAAGAAAATGTCACAATTGTTAAGAACATGTTCAGTTATTATGTGAATGTTTTTAAAATGGCATTTTTGCTTCGTAGATCTCATATAGTACATATTTTCATCAATATTTAAAAGAAAGCATATCTATCATTCATATCTTATATAAGATTTTAAGTTTACATATTTATTCATCCTGATCAAAAACTTTAACATTTTATACAGTTTTAAATCCTTCAGGTAAATTCCAGTGACTTTATATTTTGGTTTATTCATAGGCCATCTGAATTTATGTGGCTTATGTTTTTAATGATAACAATACAATATAATTTAATGACTCAGTTTCTGGAATCCCATGAATAAAATATCAAAGATGAATTTAATTTGCAAGACATTAATGAGAAGCTTCAGTGCATCTCCTCCTTCTGATATCTTTTAAAAGATATCTAATTATTTTTTACTCATCAGTATTATGAAAACTGTAAAACAATTCAGGTCATATATATTTGCATATGTTTTATTTTTTAATCACTTTGAGAGACTGTTAAATATTTCTTCCAAGAAGATGAAGAAGAAGAAGAGGAGGAGGAACAGGGTGGGGAGAGAAAGGGGAGGAGGAGGAGGAAGAAGAAGAAGTAAAACTAGGTCTGCTTTCAGTTTATCCTACACAGTATATTGAGCTGGCTTGTGAACTTGACCACCCTGGCACTGTCATGGATTGTTGGTCTTTCATCTTCAAAAATCAGTGAAGCAAGAGCATACATTTGCTTTCCATTGGCAACATTCTACACTTGGTTAACCCAAAACGAAGTTAAGAAGATTGGGATTTTTAAGATCAGCAGTAACCAAGAAGTATTACAATATGCTGCTCCATTATGTCAGATTCCAAAATCTTAGACATCAAAATAAATTTCAAATGTTTCACTTCCAACTTCCAAATACCTTGGAGGGTTCTGTGTCATTGAACACCAAAGGTTCTCATTGTGTAAATACATTCATGTGTTCATGGAATAGAAGCAAAGTGACATGCAACTAAATATGAGTTTTTAATTCATTTTAAACAATTCTTATTTGAAAAGAACATATTAGCTAACCTTTTTGAGCATTATCTACCAGGTACTTTTCTAAGCATTTTGTAAGTAACAACTCATTTTTCCTGCAAAACAACTCTGAAGTAGCTTTTATTGTTGTTGTTATTGTTGTTACAATTTACAGATTTAAAAAATGGAGGACGGAGAGAGGTTAAGCAACTTGCTGAACTATTACATAAAGATAAATACATAATAAAGAATTTTTGGATTTTTCTTAAGGGCTATGTTATCATTGGGTGACTTTTTTTTTAATTCACTCAGAAGATATTTATTTAATACAACTATGTGACAGGTACTGTATTAGGAGCAAGAGACAGAAGTATAAACATGATGAATACCTCCACAATGCTAAGCATCTGGATAAGCAACCATCACCCAAATCCACACATGTATTAAATAATTATTGTGTTAATTCAACAATATATCCCAAATGCCTCTCCTCTACCAAGTATTACCTAGAAAGCACTGTTTCAAATAGCTGCCATTTTGACAAAAGTCTATAATCAATAATAATATTTTTACCTATTAAACAATTATTAGGCATCTCCTATACAGCTGTATTGAAATGCTATATATTCCCATGCCTCTGCCTACAGAGAGCTTCTGTGATAAGGTTTGTAGCAATGGACAAGCAAGGTAAAAACTGAGGTAAGGAAGCTGCAGGACCAGAAACACATTCTTCACTAATTTAGGCTTAGTTCTCTATTGGAAATGTTAGAGTTGACTTACTGTCATTCTCTTTTGAAGATGGCAGCATTCAACACTTTTTTTCCCTAGAAAACTATGGACTTCTTGTTTCATAAATACTTTCTTTCATGTTTATACACCATAAATCCAATTTTACAATGCATTTCTAACTAGCTAGCTTGATTCTAAGAGCAAATTGCCCTTCTTTTATTATTTTAAGCTGTTTTATCAAAGATGGGATTGTCATTGACTAAACAATTTCATAACTGAGAGATGTGTGCAAAAAAACAATGAGATATGGGATTATATTTGAGATGAAGTCCTGGATGGTGAAGATTCCCATAGCCATATTAAGACAGTTGCAATCACAGAAAACAGCAGTTATCCTTTCGGACAGATACCTTAGTTCTTAGGATTAGAGAGAGAATATTAATGGGGTAGATTAATGGAGAATGAGAAGAATCTGTTTACTGTGCCATTCACTTTATACCTGGACTTCCCTTTAAAATTATGAATAATTTTCTTTTAAATCAAAGTTTCATATGAAGAAAGACATTCTCTAATAAAACAAATGGCTCCAAATGAGATCATGCTAATAAAAATTGTGGTGGTGTATAATCTATTAAATTTTCACAATCTTGATTATAATTTATGATGTTTGCAAGTAAACAAGCCTTTTAAAAAATCATTAGCTATTATCTAAAAGCCTATAGTTTTGGAACCAGAAGTTCAATAACTCTTCTAAAAATCTGTATTTCTGCATCAGATAAAGATGGTTGCTCTTATGAGTAAAAAGGAGTGCAGATTTCTAGAAAAGTTAAGACAATGTCTAGCTGTGCTATGGTTGATGTAGATTCTCAAATCAAGAGCACTGTAATTTTTTGAAAAATAATCCATTTCCACTTTTTTTGAGATTTGACTTGCTCTCTTTGGAAGAAATGTGATTTAATGAAAATTATAAGAGTTAAGAGTGAAAGGATTGATATTCTAGTCCTGTATTACACTAACTTGTCACACGTCAAAAGGCAAAGAACTTACGCAGTCTTAACTTATTTGTTTGTTTGTTTGTTTTGCTTTAAATTGGGGAGCGGTATCTGTCCTGCCTACCTCCTAGACTTGTAAAAATTCAACTCTCTGGATGCAAAAGTTCTTTGAAGGGATAAATATGATATACAAATATAATTTATGCTTTGCAAGGGGGATTTTGGGGGTGGGTGTACCATTTATAAATATTAATGTTTACTGGATTTCATTGCATGCTTCCCTGTATTGTTCTGTTTATAATCTAATATGTGCTTATTCACTGCAGTTATTTGGGGGAATATATTTTGGAATTTAGATCTGCTGCAAAATCAAATTTGGACATCATGTCTATAATATTAAAAAAAATGATGACTCACTTCTTCATAATCACTACTCTTCTGACTTGAAATCAAATATATTGTAATTCAAAAATTTTATATGGGGGGGTTTGATAGCATTCAGTACTGCACTGATAACTTAAATGATATTTTCCTCTGCTTTTGTCTTCACTTCGAGTACCATCCAGGGTCATGTAATAATGTGATAATGTTTGAGAAAATGAGATTCATAATCAGATGAACCAAGGTGCAAGTTGGAACTATATACTACTTCCTACTTGCAAGCTGTTGATTTCACTAAACCTTTGCAGCCTCCTGTGGGCCTAATTATACTCCCCTCATGAGACTGTTGGGAAAACTAAATGTGGTGATATATTTCAGGTGCTTAGCGGGATACCTTTACACAGAGTAGCCTTTAGCTGTGGCTGTTATCATTAACATAGTTCATCTTTTAAACAAGTATTTTTTCCTGTTTTGTTTTGCTTGTTTTGTGTATCTGTATATATGTGTGTATGTGTGTGTGTTTCCTTTTACAGATGGATATACCACTGATGACATTGAGTTTTACTGGCGTGGGGATGATAACGCAGTAACAGGAGTGACAAAGATTGAACTTCCACAGTTCTCTATCGTGGATTACAAACTTATCACCAAGAAGGTTGTTTTTTCCACAGGTTTGTATCAGGGAAGAGGGTTAAGGGAAAAGGGGCTTCCACATATTTTGCAAAAGGGTCCATTGATATCACGACTGGGTCCCAGGAAAGGATGATGAGTAGAAGATTTAGATCTGCTGAAAACCTTCAGAACCCCATCAAGCTCATTGCTCATTTGGGACCCATGCAGTTATTTCCCCAGAGGGACCCGCAACAAAGCCGAGAGGGTTCTTCTATGCCTCCCATCTACCAAGAATGGACTAATGGTTAGAGATAGAATGCAGAAAGAGAAATGAAGACCTGGGTCAGAGTTGTTTCCCCAACTTTATGCATCCTACAGAACTCCTCATAATCCTTTGAAAAATACTGGGGAGAGCCAAGTCAGTAGGAGAATTCCACATTTTCCTCAAAGATTAAGAATTTCTTAATTTCTTAATTTCCTTACCTCCTGTTTTGGAGCTAAAAGCCCTTCCAGATGTTGAGATTATCCTGATGCTTTCTCCATTGTTACTCTTCTAGCATTGAGGTTTTAGGTTGTCAAATTTGGTTTCATCAGCACAAAATTTTAACAAAAAAGCTCAGGAAAGTAATACTTTGCTACATACTCATTAAGGGAAAAAACAAACAATAAACCCACAGGAATATTTCTTTTTATGTTTTTCTTATTGGAATGAATTCCCCAGGCACAGAAATAGCTAGTACTGTAACTATACATTTTTAATTGCCCTTCTGCTAAGGACTTAGGCACTTCCTTTCCCTGCAAACTACTTCAAGTAAGAGTTGTATGATTTTGTAAGAATACGAAGCCTCTAGCTTTAAAAAACAAACAACAGAAACTTTTCCTAAATTTGAGGTCTTCTGAATCCCTGAGACTATAGATATGAGTTCATACTTAAAATATTCTTATTTCAATATTATGATACTTACTAGAGCCCAAGATGGCTAGACAGGCTTTCTTTCAATATTAGTAAGAATATCACCCCCAAAACACACTATTTATCAATGTGACTTTTTTATGTTCTAAGACTATGTTTGGTTACATATCTTGTTTAAAGAGTAATTCCCCAGATCATCAAATCAAAGGACCTAGCTACAGGAATCTGATCCTTTAGTTTTGTCTCCCACAAATATCTTTGAAACCAGTGATTCTCCATCGTTCGGTGAGTCAGAAATCCCCTTAGAACTTTGATGGATTCAATGGAATCAGGAAAAAATGTGATCCATACATGTGAAAACCTTCACAGAACATTAGCGAGTTGCTGTGTACCTGAAGCCTTGCCATTGATCCCAGACTTACAATAAATTCTAAGGCTTGTGAAGAGATTTCTAAAATATGATCAGACTGTGCAGCCTTATTGTTATATACAAAAACTAAAACAAACAAAAAAAAATCTTACAGGATAGTCTTGTTGAGAAACAGCTGAGGGGGAACAAAGGGGCTGTACCAAACTATCTTGTCTTCATAGTTGTAGAGAATGAGTATCTTTGATCGAGTGCCCGAGGCTGAGCAAGGAAGAACTGGAGTTCTTTTAACTACTCAGGAGTATGAGTGTACTCAACTCTGAGTGACTCTTGCTAATTAAAAGCCTGGTGTTCTCAGACTACTTTTGCAGGAGAAAGTGCCCTTCACCAGGAGCTAAAATTGAATTTAAGAAAGATATACAAACTACTTACTGGCCTTAAAAGGAAAGTATCCTATAAATACTGATTGATAATGATGATGTTCTAAAATTGCCTTTCTAGGTTCCTATCCCAGGTTGTCCCTCAGCTTTAAGCTTAAGAGAAACATTGGTTACTTTATTCTGCAAACATACATGCCTTCCATCCTGATCACTATCCTCTCCTGGGTCTCCTTCTGGATTAATTATGATGCATCAGCTGCAAGAGTGGCATTAGGTAGGCCATTTTCTAACTGCTTATGGAGCTTGACTCTGTGTGTGCACGCGTGTGTGCATGTGTGTGTGTGTATGCGCATGCACGTCCACTCACATCCTTTCCTTACCCTGGTATTTATGATGCGTGACAAGATTGGACTATGCACGTTACAGGAATTTGGCTGTGAGACTTTGGGTTATCTGATTCAGCACTAAATCAATTAAATACAAATTAAAACTCTTTCATGTCAAAATTAGTTAACCATATAGCAGTTGGTAATGAAATTAGCCCCGTCAATTTGATATTTTTATTGAAGCATAGTTCATGTAATATCACTTGATAATTGTTCAATTTGCATCGGTGCTTTCTTACCTGGAAAGAGCTCCCTTCTGTCTTTTTTTTTTTTTCTGAGCAGAAGACAAGGAAATGTATTATGCAACTAGCAGATAAGCAAAAAGACTTCTAAAGCCTTATTAAGATTTTGGAGTAGCAGGGTAGAGGGCAGAAGACAACAAAGTAAGATTGCTTGGAAATCATCCATAGCATCGCTTATCTTATGCTTGATTTTTTTTCTATTATAACACCAGAGGAAGAGAATAAATTATATTTCATGAACATTTTTATGTTACTAACTTCAGATATAGTAAATTATGATCTTTTACACATTTTTTATTATTTTTAGTTCTGACTAAGCCCTTTAAAATGTTGGGCTGTTAACTTCTTCACTGTGATACCTCAATTCAATCATCACTTCCTTAGAGAAGTCATTCCTTTATTCATTCCACAAATATTTGTTGAACACCTACTATGTGCCAAACATACTAGACACTAGAGATAAAGCAGTGCCCTTCTGGAAGATATGCTAGCAGTAAAAAGACAATAAATATATTTTGCTTATAATATGTGAACTGTGTAATACAGTAAGTCTATAGAGGGAAATAAGCAAGGTAAGGGTGGGATATGCCAGGAGGTACAGTTTACAATAACTTCATTCAGAAATTATCGATGGAACAAAGACTTCAAGAAGACAGACTCACTTAAATGTCTGGATGGGAATATTCTAACCTATATAAAAATGCCCTGAGATAGGAAAGTGCCAAGGATGTCAGCGAGGTGGCCAGTGAGGTGAATGCAAGAGGGAGTTCAGGGGTCAAGATAATGTTGGGGAGAGGGGACTACAAGATTCTGAAGCAGCTCCAGGGCCATGATAAAGGTTTTGCTTTTATTCTGAGTGAAATTAGAGAGTCACTGAGTGAAGACGTGATATGATTTGATTTCAGATTGAAAGGGGTAACTCTGGCTACTGTGTTAAGATTAGATTGTGGCAGTTCAAGAATGGAAGGGAGTCCAGTCCCCTGTGATATATTCTCTTAAAATACTAGAGAACTTCCTTTTGTAGACCAATTGCAGTTATAATTTATATTTATTTGGTTTGTGATGTCCCTTTTCTTCATGGTACTGAAAGATACATTGAAGAAATGTCCTTATCTAATTTTGCTCCCATTATACCTGTGATATCTCACACAATGAATGGTGTTCAGTAAATATTTGCTGAATAAAGTAATGAATGGAATTTATAAATATCCTCTTATTCCAAAGTGAAAATCTACTGTCAATTTAATGTCTGTTACAGGAATAATAAATAAATTATTTACTTTTTAAAAGAAATTTGTAAAATGTCTTTTGATGTGAGTAATTTATTACTTGGTCAGAAATATCTTAAAATGAGATTGAGATAAAAAGCAAAATCAGCACTGTCAGTCTTATAATATACACGTTGAACAGGATAATCTGCAGTTGAAATAATGAAAAGATAAATGAAACTGGGAAATGTTTCAAAATGACTGATATTATAGAAAAGATACAAAAACTCTAAGACACCTAAAGTAAGAACAGAGTTTTTCTGGCCCTGCTCAGAATCAGACATGCAAATTTATTTTTTCTATAGCTGTTTTATGAGCATGTAGAAAAACAAGACAAAAATTATTATCTTTTTAGAGAAATAAAATTAAATCAGAAAACTTACACTTCCAAAAAATCATAGAAATGAAACTTAACTCAGCTTTCTGAGTCAGAGAGACCCCCATTCAAATGTTGATTATATCATTTCCCATCTGTGTGATCTTGATCTCTGGGCTCTATTTTTACATCACTATTTTGCTACAAAACTGGACCTTGCCATACTCAGGACTCTGGACTTCCAGTGCTTTTACCCAGCATATCTCTATCTATCCTTCCAATTGTAGAGGGAAACTACTGTTCACTGTTGGAGATGACCACTCAGGGGGATGAACAATTATAACTTGACCCAGTATGCCATTTCCCATAATCTTATAATGCTTCTATATTATTTATCTGTGCATTACATGCCTAGTTGCCCAATCCAGAAACATGAGGTCTAGACACCTGCCTCTTTGTTACCCATCATTTCCAGCTTCGATGTTTTTATAGTCATTTGTCTATATCATCTGTATAATACATTCACTCATTTCAGTACTATTGTGATTATTTTAATTTATTTTCTCTGTATCACATAGACGATTCTGAAAAACTATTAGCTGGTATTCTTTATTCCTGTCTTGTATGCTTTCCTTCTATCCTCCACACTAGTACCAGATTGATTGTCCTAAACACAATTTGTCCCTTGCTTCCCTGCTTAAAGCTGGTCAAAGGCCCCACCTCACCTTCAGTTTTAAGTTCAGACTCCCCATTAGGCTCTGTATATATGGCTTTCCATTATGAAGCCTTACTTAATCTTCACTCTCCTCTCCGTGCTTCCTGTCATATTCTATAATATACCCCATTCACTTTCTTGAGATGCTTTTGAAGAGCCCTGTTCTTTCTCCCCCACACATAAAGCACACCTTTATAAAAGCTCTCTCTACCACACCTTGAGCTCCGGTCCTTGGTTGCTTGGGTATCTCCCACTCATCCTTCAGGACTCAGCTCCAGATTTTATTTCCTGACTTCTCTCCTGCTGCATCACGAGGCTCAACTAGGGTCTTCTCCATATCCTCAATGTTCACCCTATACAGATGTCTGCCATAGCATTTAATTCACATCTCTAGCCCCTCACTAGATATATAACTATAAATATAAAAATGTAAATAAAGGAAAAGTTTCCAAGTGATTAATTTTACTGTAAATTCATTATTTAAATGTGTCTTCAGGGCCTATCACAGCACAGGTATGTAATCAGTACCCAATAAGTATTTTGTGGTGTATATGAATGAGTGAACGAGTACAATTAATCTTTCCAACTATAATGAAAGCAGCAAGGAAACAGGGACGTTATGATTCTAAATCTGCCATTTTTTTTTTTCAGGAATTACAACCGTTCTTACAATGACCACGATCAATACCCACCTGCGGGAGACTCTCCCTAAAATTCCCTATGTGAAGGCCATTGACATGTACCTGATGGGGTGCTTTGTCTTTGTTTTCATGGCCCTTCTGGAATATGCTTTGGTCAACTACATCTTTTTTGGGAGGGGACCCCAACGCCAAAAGAAGGCAGCTGAGAAAGCTGCTAGTGCCAACAATGAGAAGATGCGCCTGGATGTCAACAAGGTAAATTCAGAGGGCTAGCCCTCCTTGCTTCTTAAACTCATAGAAGAATGCCAGCAATATAGGTTAATGGCCTTGTTTAACAAATGAGGAAACCAAGGCCCAGGGAAGAGAATGGGTAGTTTTTCCAAAATCATAAAGTTAATTAGTGATGGAGGGACGATTAGGGCCAAAACTTATGATACAACATTTGGATACCCCTTACCTTAACAATAGAGTTTCCCAAACCATATTCATCTGACAACTACCCTTGTGACTTTTTCCATATATGAATATAATGTGTACTGTTGTTTACTTTATATTTATTTACAGTTACTTTAAATAACTAACAAAGGAAATTTTATATCACTTAAATCTGTATTACTTGCTGGAAGATAATCTTAAGTGAGAAATATGAAACTATGTTATTAAATTCTAGGCTATACTAGATGAAGGCTCTGGGCCTGAGCCCATTCTCTGATTTAAAAGGGAGATAAACAAATACAGAGATGTATTAAAGAGCCACCAGCAACAAATGAAGTCTTTCCCTTTGAAGTCATCAGGAGGATAGAAAGATAAGTGGAGGGGGAAAAGAATAATTTTTTCCTTCAGTGACAGATAATCACTTAATGCCTTGCACATGTACCACTTAAGATCACTGGAGCACGTGACTATAAGAGACTGCCATCTTGCTTAAGTTACGCATAGTCAAAGAACAGTTTCCATGCAGTTCTAAACCCTGTTTAGTCTTTAAGGCAATGGTTCTCAACCTTGGGTGCCCAATTGACTGACTGGGAGAGCATTAACAAATACTGAAGCCTGATTCCTTTCCCAGAAATTCTTAATGCCTGGACATCATAATTTTTAAAAACTCTTCAAATGTGATTCTAATTTGCAGTCAAGATTTAGAATCTCCATTTTGAGGTTTTTGACAGCAGTCCCAATGCATCCGTCCCTTTTTACTACCCAAATGTGACTTCACGTGGCTTCCTCTATCAAACTTTCTGCACTAAACAGAATATTTATAAATGTATTTTCCCATAGTCCAAATTTAAATCCTTCAAAATAGACAAAAAAATAAGGTCTTATTTTAATATCTGCCATAAATAATGTTTATAAAGTAGTGCATAGTGTTAAATTTAATAAATAGTTCACTGTGATGAAACTAGGAAAACAGTAATACTTTTAAACCATCTGGAATTATTAACCATATCAATCATTATTTAATTGACATTTTAATATTTTTTTTTTTAAGATTTTATTTATTTATTTGAGACAGAGAGAGCACATGAGAGGGGGTAGGGTCAGAGGGAGAAGCAGGCTCCCTGCCGAGCAGGGAGCCCGATGCGG